CGAGGTGATGGTGGCGGGGGGTTATGTGTTGCGGGTTGGAGTGGCTGGCCGTCAGCTAGAACCGTGGTGACAGGCAGGTCCGACAAAGGGCGTGTAAACACTGACAGCGGTCTTCACTTCCTTTGTCTTTCAGGTTGCCATCACGGTTTCCCGCGGAGCTGCTGTGTGTCGTCAAGGTCAGCCAATTTGCAATCTGGGTCCAACCACGTTTGTGTGAAGGTATCTGTCAGCTCTTGTCACCGGGCCCTGTTTTTTACTGTGAATAGAGAGTCTTTAAGTTGCACCCAGGCTCCGTGAATGTTACACCTGATTGTGTCTATAATGTGTTGTCTGGCCTGGTGGAATCCAAATGTGTGCTCTTTGTATTCATGGGAGTAACATCTCTTCCCCAACACATGTCCAAACCAAGATCTGGGAACCACACTCAAAGGATGGGGGCTCAAGAGATCTGGGAAATCCCAGAGAGGTTTAAGAGGAATGGTGGGTCCAATCGTTCGACTTCAAGCAATAATCTCGTCGTAGCACTTCATGATGATGGTCCTGTCCCTAAGCTCCATCCCACTTGCCTTGTCCCAGTACACCCTCCTGGTCTACCCCCAAACAACAACGGGTAAATTGATGAATGTGACGTAGGATTTCAACATGCGAAGATAAATATTGGATTTTTTATTTTTCCCATGTAATGGAGATGTCTATCTCGATTTGTTGTTCAATTGTATCAGTAAATTTGGGACCATATAGTCTTTCCCTCTCTAGTTCATAGGTGCAACGCTATCTCCAGATAACCCAAAGAATTGCCCTCATTCCCAAACTGTAAAGATTAATGGTAAAGTCATCAAGAGAATCAGGCGCCCACTCCTCCAACAACAAGGCTTTCTAACCTCATGGTCACAAGTGCACTGCAGTCACTTGACTGCAAGTAACATCCCATAACCTTCAAAGCTAAATATGCCCATGACACAATAAGAATATGTATTCAATGATCTCTGGGATTGTTTTCGTTGGGAATGTCGATCTACAAAATTTACATCATAGAAAGGCTATACCTTTTTTTTCCAATGTAGAATGCTCTATCAACCAATTATTCGTAGAGGCACATGTGTATTTTGTTTGTCATTGCAAAGAAGTCATTTTAGCTCGCATAGATTTAAAAGTTTTTAATATTTTTTAATCATTTGATTAACTTCGAACTTTATTGACTCTCGTTCATACGTTTCCTCCATCTTGCAATTACTCGATCTCTTAGGTTAATCTTTAGATGAAGTATTATGTACGTTGATTTAACTGACAAGGTTTTGTAACACCCGGGAATATATGATTCCTCTAACCATGGAATTATACCATACCCAATAAATCGGGTCCAAGGCGTCTTCCCCCGAACATAACGCATATGTGTTGTATTCGAGTTTTCCAAAAAAAACGGGCTTTTGGAAAGTTATACCCTTTTTTTCGAATACAAAGACACTTCGAATATAACACATATACGTTCTATTCGAATAATACGCATATGTGTTATATTTGAATTTCACAAAGATAAAATTGTTGTATTCGAATATAACCTTCTTTTTTTTTCCTCGAAGGTTAATGTCTGCTCCGTTTTTGCCCTGGTGAATGAGACAGGCTCGTGTAGGCCCCATAGATCACTGCCCGTGCTCTCTCTCTCTCTCTYTCTCTCTCTCTCTCTCTCTCTCTCTCTCTCTCTCTCTCTCTCTCTCTCTCTCTCTCTCTCTCTGTTTGCCCCCTATGCTCTCTCCCTCTTTTTGCCCCCTATGCTCTCTCCCTCTTTTTGCCCCCTATGCTCTCTCCCGCTTTTTGCCCCCTATACTCTTCACGCAAGAAACTGTCCTCCACGTCATTGACACGCACTGCAGGGCTCTCTCTCTCTCTCTCTCTCTCTCTCTCTCTCTCTCTCTCTCTCTCTCTCTCTCTCTTCCCCCCCCCCCCCGTGTGCGAAGGCGCTTCTGACAGCCACAAAAGTGGCACTTCTGACAGCCAAGAATGTGGCGCGGCCAAGAAAGTGGAAAAGTTAGACAGTCACTCACCAAGGTCTCACTGCACTACCGAGATCACCGAGATAAAAAAAAAGGGATTGTATTTGTCCACGGTCTAGTGGAAGATTCATTCGCATTTTTCACATTTGCTGAGGAGTGGAGCAAGGACCCAAGTGAACATGGAAAGGTACGTGGCTACTTTACTTTTACCTTTTTGCCAAGGCTCTGAGGCTCCCAGCCGTGGTCCAGAACTGAGCCTACTCAGCCTGGACCCGACCCCCTTGTGCAGGCAAAGTTAGTCTCGTTCACTTTAACATAACGCATATGCGTTCTAAACAAGTACAACACATGCCTTATGTTCAGGGGAAGACGATAGTTTAGAAGTAGGTGTATTAGGTCTAAGGGCTAATCATTTGTCCTTTTGTTTTCACACGTGGTTAACTAGGGGTGTTATTTTCGACGAATTTTGCACCGAATTGCACTGAAACTGTCATATTGTGCTGATTTTTTGCTTTTTTTCTTGTTTTTATTTTTGTGTGATATATATGTGGTTTAGGGTACGTCATGTGTGCAGTTTTGACATGTTTGGATCAATAATAAAAAAGTTGGCATTTTGTTGAATTCGTTGGACGCTTCATTTTGACTTGGACAGTGTCTTTGTGTTAGGGTTTCATAGTGTTTTTTTGTTGTTTTTTTTTCGTTATTTTTTGCCTGTTTCCTTTTTTGATGTTTGCACTATGGTCTCATATCGTTTGTTTTTAAATTTTTTGATGAAATTCGCACCTCAATTGCTTACGAAAACGGCGAATATTTGGGCCCCCGTTAACCGTCTCTCTGTGTTTTAGGACTAAAGACCTAATCATCCTCCATTCTTTTAATCCTTATTTGCTCATTAGGTTGAATCATGTAGTCATGCAAGAACTCGAACAACAAAAGTAGGATTTCCCCATTAGAAATTTAGGATATATATCAATGATATCCCCTACAACATTTGGTAAATCCTTGATAGTCAATCAGTTGCTCTCCATTAGTTGAGATTTTTTTTTTAGAAAACGTTCCAAATTCAAAGGAATAAACTTAACTATTATTTTTACGACTTTCATTAGATGTTGACAATAACGGAGTCATTGATGTAAATAAGATATACTCAACAGTTTAGTCTCTCTTATGTCGTACGGGGGGTCGTCGTACGGACCGTCCGAACGAACATACGGACGCATGTACGGGCGTACGATCGGTTCCTGTCTAAATCTTTCAGGGCCCGGAGGGGGTGTTCAAAGGGGGGAGGGGGCTCCTTGAAGGGGTAGCGGGGGTCACAAGGAGCCCCACTATATTTTCATTATATTTGTTACTCAAAACAAAAATGAAAAAAAAAAATTTTGATTGATTGATTGAATGAATGATTGACTCATTGATTGATTGATTGATTGATTGGATGGATTGATTGATTGATTGATTGATCGATTGATTGATTTGATTGATTCAATTTGATTGGTTGATTGATTGGTTGATTGATTGGTTTAATTGATTGATTGACTGATTGATTGATTCAATCAATCAATCAATCAATCAATAAATAAATCTATCAGTAGCGAGAGTGTGGGAGCCAGCGGGAGCGTGGGAGCCAGCGGAGCATGGGAGCCAGCGGGAGTGGGGGAGACAATAGGAGCGCGAGAGGCAGTGGGAGAGGGAGCGGGGAGTGTAGCGGGAGTCAGGGAGGCAGTAGAAGCGGGGAAGGAAGGGGGAGCGGGCCAGGTAGTGGGAGAGGGAGAAGGAGCGGGGGAGGCAGCAGAAGCGGGAGCAAGGGAGGCAGCGGGAGCGGGGGAGGCAGCGGGAGAGAGGGAGGCAGCATGGGAGGCAGCAGGAGTGGGCAGAGTGTGTGTGTGTGTGTTTATGTGTGTATGTCTGCACGCATTATGTGTGTTTGTGCGTGTGTGTGTACATATGTGCTTGTGTATGCGTGTGTGCATGCGTGTCTGTGTATGTGCAAGTGTCTGAGGGCATGCATGTGTGTCTGTGTGTGTGTTTGCGTATGTGTGCACGTGCCGTGTGTCCGAAATTGGATTTAACGCGGGTTTCGCGTTGAAAAATTCAACGGGCGTTGAATTCGCGTTAAACTTCCGTTCAAATACGAGTTGAACGAGAATTAACGGGGTCCGGGATGATTTTTTTCCTGGACTAAACTCTATCCAAAAAAAAAAAAAAAAAAAAAAAAAGGTTTAAGGTTTTTTTGAATATTAAAACCCCTGTCTTTTATAAACATCTAGATGTGTATAAGAGACAGCTCTCTCTCTCTCTCTCTCTCTCTCTCTCTCTCTCTCTCTCTCTCTCTCTCGCTCGCTCTCTCTCTTTTCTCCCTCCCGGAGTTTCCCCCTTCTGTTTTGGTTGTCTATTTCGTGGCTGTTCTTGATATTCTTCTCCTCCTCCCTCCTCTCTATCTACACTCCCTCACTCCCCCACTTTTCCTGTCCCTCGCAGTCCTCCTCTTCAGGGTAGTCAGAGTGCATCTCATCGCATTATCCCCCGATGGATTCGGACCATCGGATTAGTGCTCGTACATTTACAGTCCTAACTATTTTCTCTCTTGCATGCTTCATTATCAGCTTCCACTCTAATGCCGCATTCTGGACTATCTGGACTGGGTCCGATGTAAGTGACGGCTCTTGCAAGGATGCCAGCGATCGACGCGGCGATCCCGAGGCCGCTATCAACGGCAGTCATGCCACCGTCTTCTCTCTAGCGAGTTTGGGACAAAGGACGAGTAGGCATAGAGACATCTGCTGGCAGGGACCTCCGCAGTTTCAAGGCGGTCACAATTTGGTGGTTGCAGCCTCTTCTTCCTCCTCCTCCTCTTCTTCCTCCTCCTCCTCATCTAACTCCTCCTCGTCCTCCGGTTCTTCGTTCAAACTGCCTCCTGGAAGTGTCACGTGGCGCGCAGTGGAAGTTGTTGGGATGGGATGTTCCTTGTGCTTTACAGGATCCACGTGTAGCTTCAGATTAAGACTCGGTTCCCGTTTGTCCTTGTGGGCCGATCAAGATGTGCCCCGCCGGCGAGAGGTGATGGTGGTGATCGATGGTCCAGCTTTGCTAGAAGGTGCTGTTACCCCCATCAGCACATCGAACAACCAGTTGGAATGGATGGTCTCTTATCTACCCTTCGATCTTGGGGAGTACGTCGTCACGATCTATGCAGAATGCTCCCTCCCTGTTCTCGGCAATTCCCTGTCCATACCTTTGGCCCGTTCCCCTTCAGAAGCCACCACCTACCTCTCCCAATTCAACCTCACTGTGTACTCGACTCGAATGAAACCGACACAGCAGGAGCACCAGCAGCACCAGCAGCAGCTTAGTCCCTGCGACGCAGGGTTGTACGGGCGATGGGTCTCCTCGACGGCGGCCTCGGTGGGCAATACTCTGTATGGTTCTTCTTCTTCAAGTCCCGGCGATTCCCTGTACACGTGGCAGTTCTTCGACTGCGCAGTTGCCCAAGACCGCGACAGTTTCCTGCTAGCTCTGTTGAGGCGGGACATCTCGGAGATCAACTTCATCGGCGACTCCCATAACCGCATGCTCTATCATCACCTCTGTTACCTGCTCAACGGGTGGGTGAACGTGTCCGAAGCCAAGTGGCACGGCGACTTAGTCAAGGAAGTTTCACTGACTGGCCGACTTAACTTCATCCTTCGATTCTTTTGGGTTGATGGCATCTTCCAAGATGACCAGTTTGGATGTGCGCACAGAGGAGCGTTTACTGGTCGCAAAGGATTTCCGGACATCCCGCCGCCCACCTCGGGGGGGGCACTCTATGTGCTCGATGCCGCCCACTGGACATTTCAGGAATGCTCGTATGCGGAGGCAGCGTACGCGCATTACCTGCCAGAGTTCCTTGCGTGGGGGAAGAGCTTGCTGAAGAAGAAGGGGTCATTTTCATCGGCGGGGGCTGGTAGGAGGGGTAGTCGTAGCAGTCGAGTGGTGTGGAGGAGTGCAACTGCATTTAACGTGAAGAGTTATGGCTGCAAATGGGGGGCGGAGAAGAGAGGATCACCTCCCAAGGGGAGGAGCAACGCAGGGCTCCGATTCGCCAACGAGTTTGCCAAGATCGCGGTTCGTAATGCCGGCTTCCAGTATTATGACAGCTGGCAGGTGGAGGCTCCGTTTTACTTCGATGACTCAGCCTCAGATTGCCATTTCTCGGGTATTACGAATAATGGGCGTGTGCGAGGTGTTGTTGGAGAGGCAGTCACACGACATTTTATGACTTGGGTGGCGACGGTCATGCAGTGAGTGACCACGAGAGAGTGGGGAAGAGAGGGAGAGAGGGAAGGGGAAACACACACACACACACACACAGCCACACGCACACACACAGCCACACGCACACACGCACACACGCACACACGCACACACACACACACACAGAGCCACACGCACGCACGCACACACACACACACACACACACACACACAAGCGCGCGTGTCAGCATCAGACATACGCACAGACACACACACAGAGTCATGCTTCTTTTGTGGAGTTATAGCGAAAATGACAACACATACACACAGACACACACACACACAGCCACACGCACAACACACAACAGAAAACACGCGCACACACATCATCACACACACATACACCCAGAGTCATGGTGCTTTCTTGGAGTGCCGTATAGCTAATATGACAGCACACACACACACACACACACACACACACACACACACACAGAG